ATTTCAGTTTGAAGGGCTGAGCTCAATGTTAGAGCACTTGCCTAGCTTATGCAAAGCTCTGAGTTCCATCTGATCCCTAGCCCTTCAAAATGAACCAAGAACAAAACATTCCATTTGACCTAGAGAAAACTGGTCTGGCCATCAGGTTTGCCAGCATCCAAATGTGAAGTCCTGCAAGTGTGATGCAGACCTGCAGTACTGGGAAGAGACCCAGAGCTTCCCGGGGAAACAGGAAGTCAGGAGCAGGAGAAACAGGAAGTCAGGAGCAGTACCCTCACAGCAACTACCAGTGCACCAGGTGGGGCAAAAGAGAAGCTCAAATAATGACATAGGAGATAGTATGACTTTCAGGAATTAGCAATTTGTGAACAAGAAATAGGAAAACGGTAAAATGCATGATAGAAAATGTAAGGAATTGAGCTGTGGAGTTGTTATAAAACAAGTTATAAATTTATAATGTAGAAAATTGAGTTGCAAAGAACCATGTCAAACATTCGTTGGATGATAAACAGCTATCTCTGAATGTTAATCTTGTGAGAATGTCAACCTAACCAGCCAGATGGTGAGGAACTGGAGACTACTAAACTGTCTTACAGCACTAGCACAGAGGCAGGTTAAACTAGTGTACAGCCCTTAAATTCGGGATTGGAAATGTAACTCAGTTGGTAGAGTGCTTGTCTGGCGTGCACAAAGCCCTGGTTTTGAGCCCCAACACTTCACAAAACCATGCATAGTGACACATGCCTGTAACGTCAGTACTTGGAAGGTAGAGGCAGGAAGATCAGAAATTCAAAATTATTCTTTGCTACATAGCAAGTTCAAGGCCAGCTTGGACTGCATGAGTCCTTGTCTAAAAAAGAAGGAGCAGGAAGAAGAGGAGGAGGAGGAGGGGGGGGAGGAGGAGGAGGAAGAAAAAACCCTTTAAGTCTTTGGAAGATAAGATTGGTAGAGAAAAGAAGAAATATTGGTGCTGGGAATCTGGGTTTTCACAGAAATGCATAGGCTTGGTTTCTTACATTTCACATGATTGTGAGTCAAAAATCTGGTAGGTCCCTCATTTATCTTGAGGAATTTTTTTCTTGTTAGAAAGTAGAGCAATTTCTCTTCTAGGCCTAAGTCAGACAGCGGGGAGGAACTTGGTGATGTGTCAAAATGATGACAGTAAAATGATGCTACTCCAGACACAGAGAAAATATACTTAAAGCTTGGGAAACAGAATTCAAGAAAATCCAGAGAACAGACAGTCCAATAAAAGAACCAACACAAGCTTGATTTCAAAGAGATAAAATAAAATCCTTACTACATCATTGTGGGTGAGAACAGAGAAAGCGCTGAGGGCCAGTGCAGCTCTTATTACTTCAATAATCCAGCTTTTAAAAGAACATGTTCAAAGGCTGGGAGGAAGGATACATAGCGAAGGGTGAATAAAGACAAGATGTTCTTTTGATGATCTTATCAGGAAGGTTACATCCCAGAATACACTGCACCCACTTGAGAGAACGAACATCATTTAAGTTCTGTTGGAAATGAAAATAATAAGAAGAAACACATGTCTTCCTGCTTGGAGCTAAAGCTACGTGCTTGCTGCAGTCGGAGGATGGAGCACTGGTCTACTGAGAGGACCTTTGGTCTACTGAGATGACCTTTGGCTTCCACCCTTTCCAAGATTTTTCTACTTCTACTGAGAGATGAAATTACCATCAAGACAAGTAAAGAATTGTCCACATGTTATTTAGACAGAAATTCTTTCTCTAGAAAGAGAACATTGAGATCAAAGGTAGATGAGGAAAGAAGTGATTGTGCTGGCCTGGAAACTGTGCTCAAAATCCCAGATCTAACGACAGCATAGTCACACGGTTATGTAGTTGTTTCTAAGTACTATACTTATTTTATGTTTTTTAACTCTTACAACAATTCTCTATGGGAAACAGTATTATCACCATTTTACAAATGGCGGAAGACAAAGTCCCGAGAGCGGTTTTGGGTAGCAAGAAACAAATCAGGCAGTCTGAGACCAGATTCTCTGCTTGGCCAGTATAAAATGGGGAATTAAGAGGACTGAGAAATGACTGCAGGGAGATTGTGACACTGAGAGAACCAACGTTGAAGGGCTTACTGGGGAGTAGAGGGCTTCCCTGGGGCAACATCCAGGACCTTGCACTGATGCTGGCGAACTGCAGAGCCAACTAGGAAGAGATGAACTGGGAGCACCACAAAGACATGTGTTGTCTCTGGGAGCCAGCATGGGGTAAAGCAAGGAAAAGTCAGGCTGAGTAACTTCATTCGAGTGTGGGAAGAGACCTCTAACCTAGCAGAATCTTAATCTCCGTTCTGAAGCATTTGATGAAGTCTCTATATTGATATGCATTTATTTTTTTTTTTTTTTTGAGACAGCGTCTCCCTGTAGCCCCAGCTGACCTGGAACTAGCTATGCAGACCAGGCTGGCCTTGAACTCACAGAGCTCTACCTGCCTCTGCTCCCGAATGTTGGGGTTAGAGGCATGTGCCACCACACCTGGCATTGATACCCATTTTTTACAAGCCAGAGAAAGACACAGTATTAGGCCTAGGTAACATTCCACTAACCTAAAGCAGTTTAACATACTTATCCTAAGGATAAGCTAATGAATCACCTTCAGGACTTAGCATCATGCATGGTGCACTGGAGATTGATGATTAACCATGTACTAAATAAATACGCCATAATGGAGGTCACTTGGTGTTGACTCCTGACTTAACATTTTCTTCATAAGTGCAAAACAGAAATCAAGAAGATACGTTTATCAGATTTGCTAGTGATGTAAAGTTGGGGGGGAGGATTATTTCTGTGGATGACTAAACTAACGTTTGATCTTAGCATGCTGAAAACAGGATATCGAGATAAAATTTAACAATGCAAGTCTAAAATCCTGCATTTATGCTAAAAAATCAGTTAGACAAGCACAGAAGGAGGCGTTACCTTGTTTCTGGATGATTTGTATGAGGAAAAAATAAACTAATGTTTCTGACAGGACCCAAGTTGAGTTGAAGTTGAGGGTATTCTAAGACTGTTCAAGGTTTGAAAAAGTATCTTAGGCTCCACTAATAATATCTGTGCCAAAAATGAAGGCAGGTAAGCCGGGTGCGGTGTCCCATGCCTTTAGTCCCAGTACTTGGGAGGCAGAGGCAGGTGGATTTCTGTGAGTTCGAGGCCTGCCTGGTCTACATAGTGAGTTCCAGGCCAGCTGGGGCTACAGGGAGACTCTGTCTCAAAAAGACAAAAAAAAAGAGAGAGAGAGAAAGAAAAAAAAATGCAGGTAATGGTCCTGTAACTGTAACATGTACCAATAAGGTTGCTCCTGGAAGCCCAGTGTCAAGACACATTTTTTTAAAAAAGAAGTAGAAATATAGAAAAATTGAACTGTATCCAGAAGAGAACAGAATGCTCCAGAATCTGAAAACCTGCAATAAGAGAAATTATGGAAATACATGGAAAAGATAAATCTTAGAGATAACAAAATAGTTGTCTAAGCTAGTTCTAATGAGTCAAAGTTAGACAGACAGAAGGCACCTTGTTCCCTGGGGTACTGAAGAAACCAAATAGGATGGTTTGTAAGGTGAATGGAATATTCTGAAAAGCAGTCAAAGTTAGACAGGGGGCACCTCAAACTTTGGTATATTGAAGAATACAAATAGGGTGGTTTGTGAGGTGAGTGGGTCTTTCTGAAAAGCAGTGTACACACTGTCCCTAGAATCAATCAAACAAGTTTCAATTAAGCCTGGCAGCCAGGAATGCTATTTCCTGGAAGGAAATGCTAGGTTGAATAGAAATCTAAAGTAGGTGACTATATGTTCTCTTTCAGTTCAGAACTTCAAATCCTATGATTATGACCCTCTCCACTTTTAACTTCTTCCTTCACACCTTAAAAGCTAAGAGAGAAAGATATATAGATGAAGAAGATAGATAGATGATAGAAAGAAAGGCAGACAGACAGACAGACAGATTGATATTTAGGAGCTAGGAGATTATATTAG